TTATGATGAGTTACAAAGATCCCCAGGGCAGCATTATGAGTCTCCAAGAATAGTTAATATAATCTAAACAGTACGTTTGCTAAGAACTAACAGTAAACAAAAATTATTCTCTCTGTGCCTTTACATAACTCCTGAGGAAAGTTTAAAGGAACAATGTAAACACCATTTGACTTTAGCTCACAGTTTCTTACTCTGATTAAAATCTTTACTGCTTCGCAATTTAATATTATTCAGTTCTTAGCGAAGACCTATTATGTTTAACCCAAGGAAAATATGCCTGTGTCTTCTATAATTTCTCTGCTATTTATTGATTTGTTTTATTTTACTATTTATAACAAATCATCAATTCGTCAACAGTATATTATAGTCCACTGCTAGACCTATACCTCATCTTAAAAAGGAGGTTGTGGCCTACTATACCAGGGTACGGTACGGGTTGGATTTCTTTTAAGTTTTCCTTCTCTTTGCAGTGCTGTGTTGTCCTGCGCAGTTAGTTCCTTACTTGACTTTTACGACACCCACTGGATGAACAGGGGTCGTGACACTCTGGATTATTAATCCGCCACCACACGGATATAACAAATCCGGTAATAAATTTTACTTAAACACGTATTAGTAAAATTTGATTAAATAATTTTTAAAACTATTAGTTTCAAAAATCAATTAAAAACCAAATACAAAATAAGTATTATTAATATTCCTGCTTCCGATAGAACTATAACATATTTGGGTATGAGAACGTAGTTATCAATGCCTGCAAATACATAATTTGTTACAACATACGATATAACAAGATTTAAGTGTTAAGCAAGAAAGTGTAAGTTCAATAATTAACTTTTAAAAATGACCAAAGAGTTCAATGTGCGTCATCATCTGCCTACCCTTTTCCCAATTTTATTTGGGGTCGGCGCAGTATGTATGATTTTTCCATTCTACTCTGTCATGCGTCATCTCACTGTTTACTCCCTTCCTAGCCATATCCTCACTGACGCAGTCCATCCATCTCTTCTTCGGTCTGCCTCTTCTCTTGTACCCTTCAACTCTCATACCTAAAACTTTCTTCGCCACATTTTCCTCATCCCTCCGCATGACATGTCCATACCAAGATAACCTATTACTTCTTAACTTTTCATCCAGTGGCGCTACTTTCAGACTCCCTCGTATATACTCATTCCTAACCTTGTCCATCTGAGTCACACCACACATCCATCTCAGCATTCGCATTTCGGCTACGTTCAGGCGTCTCTCATCCGTTCTCCTAATGGGCCAACTTTCAGAGCCATACAGGACGGCAGGTCTGATAACTTACTCTAACGAGTTCAATGTGCGTAAATCATGAAAAGCTATATTTTTCAAAACTACTTTGAAGTATTCAGATTTAAATGGGACTAAGCTTGACTACAAAAAATTAAATTGAAAAATCAAATCAGTAAAATAAAAAAATAAAACCGAACCTCCTTTCATGCCACTTCCTTACCATACATCCATACTTCTTACTTTCTGAAGTTGAATAAAAATGATATGAAGATGACAAAGATTATTTTATGAATGAACATACAAATACGAGTATACATATACAAATTTATATGTATGAACAATTTTAGAAATACTAATATATTAAAATTTATAAATAACTAGCTTTACTCTGCTACGCTTCGCGGTGGCACATTGTGTTTGCACTGATGAGAAATAAGGACCAAAATCAATCAGTGCAGAACTTTTAATCCAAGTTAACTTTTTATGTATAGAGAAGATAGCGTATTAACAATACTACAAAATAGCGTAGATATTATGAAACTAATTTAATTAATTTATATGTATATAGAAAAAAAAAACATACAATTAACAGTCAAGTAAAAGTTATGTACTGTTATGTAATGAGTCATGTAATTTTCTGTTTTATCATTATGTTATGATTATGATGAACACCGCAGTGTTCTATGTTCATTTGCTTAACTGAAACGCAAAATCCAGTCTCAAAATCTATGTGTTCCCTGCCTATCCTTTGCTTATCTTATCCCTATGCTTTCTTTTGAAGTCGGTTAAAAGAATTGGTTAAAGTTATCGATTTTCGAAATGTCACTACAATCCATAGTATCTAAAGTTTCAACGCTTTCTTTTTGGTATGTTCTTTTCTACATACTTCGAGGTAGAAAGATTTCTAGAAATCCTGTTTGAAAATAAAATAGTTGCTGTCGTTTAAGCGATCAGATAGTTATTTTGTGTTTTTCTAAAAGTGGTTTATTCTAGTCTTGGCAGTTGTTAGAATTCTTCGCAGTTGGTCCAAAGTGGTCTTCGAGAAGTCTTAAAAGTTGTTAACTTTGTTGCGCGGAGACCTCAAGTTTGTCTCAAGCAATTTTAATGTCTTCAAATTTTCCTTTAAAACAAATACATTTAAACTTACTAATTCAAGAGATTTATTGTAACTTATGTTCATTTCTTTCTTTACTGCCTAAATAATAATAATATTAATAAGTTGAAAAAGAAATAAAATATATGGATTTATCTCACGAGATTGTCGATATGTCAATCAAAGAATGAACTGAACAAAACAAAACAGCTTCAAAAAATGCGTAATATTTTTAATTCATATTTTGAACGTAAAATTGGTTATTGTGAGTCAACCGTAGGAGATAGAGACATGCTTCTGGACACTCTTTTGAAACATTATTGTAGATCTACAATTATCTAGTACATTACTTTTATATACCTCTGGCAGCTCTCTGCCCGTAGGCAAGATTTTTTGCGCCCTCTTCAACAATAATCATTATATTTCAGTCAATTTACATAAAACCATAATGACAATCCTTTTGTTCATTTCCTTTATGGGTACCTAACAGTAATTCTTTCTTTAAATGCGTTTTTAAAAGACCGCCTAATTTGAAATACTATCTTCAAAGCTACTTACTTTGTAGGTAATATTAAGAAATAAGTAAAAGTAGATGGGTTGGAAATAAAGTTAGCTTTATTTGTAATGCAATGCTACTCTTAAATGAAGGTTGTAAACTTTTACGACTCACAGCGTGATCCTCTTGCAGGCTCTTAAAATGCATTTGCTTAGAAGTCCACAATCTATAAACTTAAGAGAAACACACGAACGAAACATAAACTACATTGTACACATTACTGACTAATGACAATATAATCAAAGTGATGCAGGCGTTAAACCGGTTAAGACTCATTTGCATGTTGCATATTTCACGCTGTTTCGGCATTTCCATGTAATTATTACGAATCATTTTCTATTTGCGTTTCTATGCTGAACTGCAGCATTAGAGAGCGTGTTAATTTTCTGTTACCGGCAAATATAATGAATTACTTACAGTCGGCACTGTTAGTAATTAGGCAGTCGTTGTCTACCTGAACTACGTTTGCTCGTAAACATAATCATCTCCGCGTTTGTTAGGTTCCAGTTGAGATTTTTACACATCTGTTCAATGACCTTTTGCGAGGACCTCGTGCGGTAGCATACTATTCTCAAAGGGTGGTCCCTTTGAGGATAGTCAGGTCGTTTGCATAGGGTACTGCAAACAACCTGTGGTCATTAAGTTTAATGAGCTCATCGACTACAAAGTTCTATGTTCTACAGGAGAGGTGAGACGACTCTCACCTCTCCTGTAGAACATACGGCATACGGACAGGCTTTGGCCGCGAAAGCTCTCATTGTGTTGTTTATAGTTATAATGCTCTATATCTGAGTGTTGTATAGATGAAAAGATTAGCTGTCCAGTGCTGTGCTCCTACTCCTCTCCGGGACTTTCAGTTTAAGGGATTCAGATTCTGAAAATGTACTAAGTAATACTTACGTGTAAACATATAACTAAATTGATCGTAGTTTAGTAACAACTTCCAATACTATTCAATTAGTGTTAATACAAACGCGAAGTCCGTTGTTTTTATTTCAGATTAGCGTCTGAGTCTACTGAGGGCTTTATAAAATATGAACGTAGACCAAGTTTATTTTGGGTGACTTGTGGTTGTTTGACTTCAACTTAATAAAGTAGTTAAGCTAAGAAAACGTGAATTAATTCACAATTGATTTACTTAAGTTTTGTTCACCGAACCTAGAAAAAACATTTACTAAAATACATTAAAGGTTTGCAAAACGATTGCAAAACACGTACCGCTCAGTAGGCAATCTCTAATTCTCTGGTTCCTTCTTGTGCTGATTCGATACTTTTTAAAATAATCCTACGATTGGTAATACTTATACCACGTGAGGCCTATTCCTAGACGTATAGAGAAATATTTTGTGTAAATGTAGTAAATAACAGATTCGGCTTTTAAGGATTAATTGTATAAACTACGACGACAAGCAAGAATTGATGAAGATGTGAAAATCATGATCAACTAAAGTGACCGGTTTTGTATATCTTTCTTATTTAGAGTTTAGCCTTTTTTCTGACAGGATTTTAGGATTTTTATGGTTAGTTTATAGCAAAGTTAGTAGTTCTAAGAATTTTGAATACGATTACTATTATTCCAAGGATGCATTTCGTAAACCACTATTCAACTTGAACGAACTCGGGATAGATCATGTTAAATACATAAACAGGTATATTTATAGATGTTGAATATTGTATGCCATGAAGGTTTTTTTAATTCAAACTATGCTGTAGCAGCTGTATATGTATACGTCATCCAGATCAACGCAAATAGACTTATTTTTTATTTTTTATTATTACACTACTACTATTACGTATTTATTATTACATAAAAAAATTACACGGAGCCGACATAGCACCCCCGGAGTGGCAGTCCAATGCCGCCGCGTCGCACCGGTAATTTAATGTAAATATGGGTACATTTTGCTACATTTTTTAGGTAAATTTCGACCATTTCACTTCACACATTTAGTACCAAAAAAGGTTTTCAAAACAGGTTTTTCCACTAGACCCAAATCTATGTTTTTTACTAACAATTATGTTAGCTGTACGCTTCATACCACTGCAGTAACACATCATGTTAACATTTGTGACAATTTTATTTTTCTCCAACAGACGATAAATTTCGACTCAACGCGCGGTGGTATCTCCCTTGTCACGGAAAAGGGCATACACAGTAGTAGCAGACTGCTAGTGCAAGCAGCACGAACATCAGATGCAGGCTCGTATCAGTGTGTACCAGATAACGCACTATCAGCTACAGCGAGAGTTCATGTCTTAACTGGTGAGTTAAAGTTGCATTTTAACCAGAGATCGCTTAGCAATCGAATTTCGACTAATCCCACACGCTCACCACTGTAACTCCTGTATACCAGGATCAACAGCAGTGACCAACGAACACACCGAGTTATGACAGTCAGAAAGTCCCAAAAAAAAAAATCTATTGTTCTTTCTATTGAGGATGTGATGAACTCGTATTTTGTTACATTGACCAGTAACATTTAAACCGTCTTTGTATAGACAATTTTACTTTGATAGGTCAAAATATATATTGAACCCCAACTGATTTCTGTAGCCGTTTAATGTCCCAAATCCGCCTAAAGAAGGCGGTACGTTAATAGCAAGCTGTCCGATTTTCACGATTGCAACGAAGTTTGCATCTTGATTTTTATCAAATAGTTTCGTACAAAATTTATTTCAATGTAGTTTATTAGTAATGGTATTTGTATGCTCTCATAGTTCTAATATAACTATCTTATAACATAAATAAATTTTGCTTAAGCACGGGTCATCTCCTCAACGGGGCCGCGGGGCTCACGGAAGTGGAAATGACTAAAACCATACTATGTTTCGTCAAATATAAGTCTAATGCAATGGACTCGGGCACACCCCAGGGAGAAAGTCCCTGATGACCCCGCCAGACCTTGGCAGCCACGCCGAGTCGAGCCTTCTGATATTAGAATTGCATATATATGCTCCAACAAATCAAAATGATATCTACTGAGAGACGAATATTTAGCAATCATTTTGTAAATTTTGATAATTAACATTAAAAAATTGAGGTTTCGTATGTTCATGAGCACACATATAAGGGATGTCTTTATTGACATGGCCTTCTGGGACTGTGGCTCTAATATATTGTACCTAATGTTTGCCTTCACTTAAGTAATTGGGCTTTTAATTACTGGGATTGTGCCAAGCTTTACGCTCCTGTTTGTAACGGTTAAAAAAATACAGTTTATACCGGATATTTTACGTACTTAAGCCAGGGCATTAAGTAAGTCATTGTTTAGCTCAAATTATGTAAACGCACGCAATAAAATTACACTCGATGACAGAGGGCGTAACCGCATTGTATTTAAACTGCTCGATACGTTAGGCAATTAAAGGTATATACTTTTTGCGTGATTACGTTACTTTCGCAAATAGTCACTGCATACAAAATGTTCATATAAATAAATATTAAAATAATTATGAAAAATATTTTCTACTTTTTAATATTACGAGTACTTATGTACTTGTAGTATCACACATCTTTCAATATTTAGCCGTCTTAATTTATTATTATTATAGCCGGAATTATTTTTCTAGCCCGTTGAATATTAGAACAACTCAAAAAAATCTATTATGCCAAGTATAAGGAATAATATTAGTTATCATCTATAAATTTTAATGAGAAAAAAAAATGACCAGAATACTTTACTATACGGACTGAAGGAATTCATAATTATTTCTACCGGTAAAATATTCAACTTATTATTCAGTAACAAAAATGTAGAACCCATTAATTACGAACATTTAAATTTTTTACACAGTCCTTTTCATTTTTACAAAAAATATTTTTTGCTTCTTTTTTTACAATCTCTTCTTATACTCTTCTAAAACAATGTCAGTCCAAATCGCTCAAGTTATAAGAACTTAAATATTTCTTACATACTTAAATTATTCTTAATAAGTAAAGACTGTTCAAATGTTGACATTTAGAGGTAGCGCAATTAGTGGAAGCAAATGAAAATTCAATCTAGTTGTTGTCCTATGCTCATTAGTAAGTTAAATACACACATTTGCCGAGTTTAAACTAAATGAATTAGATGAAAAATAGTAAATACGCACATAAAATACACTCATCTATTTCCCCGTTGGAGTAACAGAGATACATACATATATTTAAGCGCCCCCGTTTTTTAATCATTTTATATTCCAATTTTAGTCTCACTTACTGTCAAGATGTCACTTTCGGGAGATAAAAGTATAAATTACTTGCATGTATTTTTCAGTCATATAACGTAAACGTAAAAAATAATAATAAATGCATACCAAATCTGTAAAATAAGATCATATCGAATAGAATAAGTGAAGTATGTTTTAAATATTTTTGTGGTATAGAGGGGTAAATAAGCAGACTGTTCGCCAGATGGTAAACGACTACCTCCGCCTGTGCAGCTCAAGAGTCACAAGTGCGTTATCGCCTGTTGAATCCTCACTTCCCAGAATTAGGGAGGGAGGAAGGGCTCCAGTAACCTTGTTTAACACCGATATTTGTGAGGCCTTCGTATCACTCCGGTCGAGCCGACCTATTTGTGCTTTGCTCTGCTTTCCCACAGTAAAAACCTAATTTGTTTTTAAGACAGGTTTTTTTTATTTCACCTTAATATATATACGAGTATTAACCTACTCATATATTATTGTAAGTTTCTCTAGGACTTTCGCCAATATTCTGTAATATTCTGACTACATGAGAGTGACCCTTTGTGGAGCGATTTTGGAACAGTTATATTGTCCGTCAGGGACCCTCGTTTTTCCAGAACCACGATGCTTAGTAATAGTTAATAGTCACGGTGTCTTAGTACGGTGAGCTAAATAAATTCGGAAAGAAATACATACGAGTGACAAGGACTGCTAAATATCTGTTGAAAATTTTATACATTATGATACTTTTTTTTTTAATACCTACGAATGACTTAAAATTTTAAAAATGTAAATTAGCCAAAGTTTAAAAATATTAAACTTAATTAAATTCATTTAGTAGTAAAATAAAATGAGTACAATATTTTGATTTCTAAATGTATTCATAGTAAGAAGACTTAAACCTACTATTTAAATATTCCCAAACTTTTATCATAAAGAATGCAACTTAACAAATTAAGTAACTAAAATGTGAGTAGTGAAAATGAAGAATAAGAACTCTCTTTAATTAAGTCTTCTCTTAGCGGAAAGATATACAATAAATCATTCCTGTTCTTGATGTAATTAACCGGCGCACGGTTCAAACGGCTAGAAGTTCTAATTAGTTGACCGGAGTGAACGTCAACCGACAATCGTCAGATGTCTCAGCATGGATTGGCGACTATAAAGACTCGAGTAATTTCAAGTGTTGCATGAGCTTGAGAAATTGTTAACTTGAGAGGTTGTATAATTGACTTGCCTTTCGTTAAAATACTTTCAGTTGATGCTTGAACTTTCATAGGGTGATTTCTATATTTTAACTGGTCATTCTTCGAATTAATCACGTTTTTGTGCAATATTAGTATCTATATTACTGCCAGTGTCAATTGACATTCTTTTGTAGCTTTATTTTATTATTTCCCTTTTCATGGTCAGTATTATGACCACTCTAAATAAACGATTATTTGTTATTTAATTGATTGATTTGTAAAGTTACTATAAATGTAATTTATAGTAATATTAAATAAAGTAGGTAATAATATATGAATTTACCATTTATTAACATAATAACCTACCTTTAATTTAATACAAAGCAATGTTTTACTTATTAAGTAAGTTACAAAAATAAAGTAAGGTCCTGTCTTTGCACTGTTATTATATTTAATATTTAATTTTAATATTTTTTGTTGTAAAAATAAAATTGATTCTAGAACAAATTGGTATTTAGACTCGTAGTGTGATTAATCCTTCTTGGACTACTTTTTTCAATGAACGATCAAGGGTTATATATGCAGTAGCCCGATATCGTTCATATTTGCACCCCAGTTCAGTGCCTATCTCTGTGATGTTTCAACGCACACGCATATTAAAATCAGATAATTCAGACGTATAATATTGGTTGGTCACATGCATGTGTGCACAACACTAGATACGTTTTTTTTTTGTTTACGGGGTTGAAAATCCCTTCGGATCTCCTGCTCCTCCGGGACTCAGGAGCCAGGAGTATGTGGTGATTTCACTAAAAACCACCCCGACGGCCGGCCTTAGGTGTCCTACTCTGGGGAGGACCCGGACCATGCTATTTCAGGTCCTTCCCGAATTGACACCATGCCTAATCAGGCCCTATCCCAGGGGAGAACACTTTCCCCTTCAATCGCGTCATGACGGCCCGATCGCATCTTAATGCAATCAGGCCGGCCATTCCATCCCCTACCGCAGCAATCCATCTGCCACCAGAGGTCCCCACTCTCTGGCGGCTCGCGGCCCCGTCGACGGCTGAAATCGGCGCCGACGTCCTCTACGTTCGAGATCGGCCCTCTCCCGATCCCGTTCAGCGGTCTCTTTCTGGAGCATTACAGCTTCACAGAAAGAGACCACTGCGCCCCAGCCCTCCTCACCCGCCAGCATAGCAGTAATGATCGCTGGCGGGGACAGGTCTCGTCCGATTTGGTCGACACAGGACCAAATCGGACGAGACCTGGGACTCCGCCCAGCATACGCTAGAAGACTAGAAGAGTATGCTGGGCGGTAGTCTTCCAGCGTATGCTGGGCGGTAGTCTTCCAGCGTATGCTGGGCGGAGTGCCAGTCGGCTGCCCAGTGCTGGTATTGTGCCGTCTCCTCGCGTCCAATCCGATTCAGGTACTCACCGAAGCAACCATGCCCAGTGAGTACTTGCGTCAGTCGGTAGGTAACGCGACCTCCCTCCCTACCTACCCAAGCTTCAAGGTTAGGCAGAAGGGCACCGACAGCGCGTTGGCGGGCATTCCGCGGCTGCTTCAGTCGCGCGCACCACTGCACCAGTGCCTGTCCTTGGGCGTTCCGCCGCATTTCGAGCTCATCCTGGTCTTCCCCACCTTCACCCCGGCGGATCGCGCAAGTCTGGTCATAGTCGCGTCCATATCCCCCAGGATATCAAAAGGCGGGAAACGTGCCAGGACTGTCTGTCTGACTGGAAATTGTCCGGTAGCCTCGTACGATCCTAATGGCCGCTACCCGCTGCGCTTGATTGAGCTTAGCTCAGCAGCGGGAGGAGGCCGATAGGCGCTTGGCCCATATCGGCCATAACTCTTTCAGAGAGTTTCGCCACCTCGTCCAACAGGCATATCGGTCGGAACGCCGAGGGAGAATCTGCGTTCCTGCCAGGTTTCTGGATAAGGACCAGCCTGGCTTCCTTCCAGCCGGCAAGGAATACGCTATTACGAAGGCAGCTGTAAAACAGCCACCTCAGCCTATTCCCTAGGACCACCAAAGCGCACACCCATGCTCGGCCCGGGATCCCATCAGGGCCCGGGGCGGTGTTGCGGGCGTCGAGTCCCTTTACGGCTCGGTCCAGCTCTTCCTCCGTCACACATTCCATGAATTCTCAAAAAGTTACTGTAAGGTTGTCTGAGTTTTGAAACGGTGGCATTTGCATTAGCGCGTCCAAAGCAGCGCCAGATGGAATACCTGTGAATAACTGTATTAATTGCGTTGAAATTAGATACTATAATCATACGCACATATAACTTTGTAAACTTGCTACTGGAGTTATGACCGCGACCGTACATATTGCTATAAAGTTTACTGCTTGTAAAGAGAAAAAAGACAGAACACCACCTCATCCAAAAATCATTTAAAATAAGTGTGTTACCGTAAAATTAGACCATCTAAAATCCCTCAACTGGATTGTGAACTGTGTACACAGTTTGCAATCCTACACTCGAGTGACGTTTAACTAATGTATTCATCACTAGCTGCCGGCACAACGTTACAAATTACAGCATTAGCCCTGACTACCCTTGTTCCTACATGTTTGTTCCATCCGCGTCTACAAATCAAATCGATAGCAGATTTGTCAT